ACAGTTCATCTACATTGTCGAATTTATTGGCATACAGTTGTTGATAGTATTCTCTTATAATCCTTATTATTTCTGTAGGGTTGGCAACAATTTCCTCATTTTCATTGATTAATGTCTTTTATATTTACTTAGGTTGTTCACTTTATCCATGTGCTGTATTCCTTCATGTGGATTTGAGTTGCTGTCTAGTATTCTTTCATTTCAGCCTGAAGGGCTCTCTGTAACATTTCTCAAAGGGCAGGCCTCACTTCTTTCAGTGATTAGCCCCATTATCCACTTTCTCCATTTCATCTATTTGTTTTCTATAGCAGTTGCAAAAATCTTTGAAGAGGGAAATAGAGGCATTCATCCAGTCTGCTGTTGCCCAGACTTGGGAGGATTAGACTTCCAGATGTTGATGAATTTTTAGTATGGCTAAAGAGTTTAGGGGTTATCATGTTGTATTACAATGGTTAGAATGTAGATACAATGTTCTACATTGTATACAGTGTTAGAATTTTCTACTTCCTTTCACCAATTTTTAAAGTGTGTTGTATATCATGCTGCTTTCTTGTTTGGTTAATGACATTTGGAATTTTCAGAATTATTTTGTTCCTAATCAAAGGTTACATGGTAATTAAATGTTTCCAAGCTCTTCAGTAGACAAGCCCTGGGGAATGATGCTACCATTGCATGCACTTAGTACTGTATCCTTGATGCGTGCAGCCTATTCCCACACCCCCACACATTCATGAGAAGAGCTTCTCATATGAGACTTCCTCTGAAGTAAAAAGAGCTAATCCGGTGCCTGGCTGCTGCCCTTTGGCTGGCCCAGCAGAGAGATGATGTTCCAGTGTCTCTGACAGATTCTTGAGCAACTATACTTGAGTTAAGTCTCTTCTTCCCAAGGTGAGACTTTCTGGGGTGGGTCCTTCTGAGACTCCAGGAAGACATGTGACTTCTGAGAAACCTCTCATTTTGTCATCCTATATCAATCTCATGGGCTTTTTATAAGGATCAAATGAGAAAACAGGTGTATAGGCATACCTCGAGATACTGCAGGTTTGGTCAGACCCCTGCAATAAAGCAAATATCACAAAAAAGCAAGTCAAATGAATTTTTTGGTTTCTTGGTACATAATAAGAGTTATGTTTACACTGTAGTCTATTAAGTTTGCAATAGAATTATATGTAAAAAAAAGTTCACACCTTAATTTAAAAATACTTTGTTGCTGTGGAGCCTGGATGGCTCAGTCGGTTAAGCATTCAACTTCAGCTCAGGTCATGATCTCACAGTTCGTGAGTTCCAGCCCCACATCGGGCTCGCTGCTGACAGCACAGAGTCTGCTTTGGATCCTCTGTCCCCCTCTCTCTCTGCCCCTCCCCTGCTTGTGCACATGCTCTCTGGCTCTCAAAAATAAAAAATAAACATTAAAAAAATACTTCGCTGCTAAAAAACTGCTATCCATTGTCTGAGCTTTCAGCCAATCACAGACAGCAGCTGACTGATCAGGATGGAGGCTATTGTAGGTTGGGGAGCTGTGGCAATTTCTTAAAGTAGGACAACAATGAAGTCTGCCGCATTCAGTGACTCTTCCTTCCCATACTGTTTCTCTGCAGCACGTGATGCTGTTTGATAGCATTTTACCCACAAAACTTCTTTTGAAATTGGAGTCAATTCTCTCAAACCCTGCTGCTGCTTGATTGACTAAGTTTAAATCGTATTCTAAATCCTTCGTTGTCATTTCAACAATCTTCAGCTTCATGGCATCTTCCCCAGGAGTACATTCCATCTCAAGAAACCACTTTCTTTGTTCATCACCAAGAAGCAACTCCTCATCCATCAAGTTTTACCAGGAGATGGTAGAAATTCAGTCATACTTTCAGGCTCCACACCTGATTCTAGTTCTCTTGCTATTTCCACCACAGCTGCTGTTACTTCCTCTGCTGACATCTTGAACCTTCAATTTGTAAAAAGCACAACAAAGTGACTTTCAATAAAACAAGATATGCCTGCATTTTTCCAACCTGATTTTAGGGCAATGGCACACAACCTCAGGTACTGCTAATACTGTGTTGCGTCCAGCCTCCATCAACCTAAAAACCCTTTAGGAAAAGCAATTAAATGATAAACATTTAGGGGAAAGATTTCTTGTGCTACTTACTTCTTGACAGAGAACAGGGCCCTCTGCCCGACTTCATTCACCATCACTTCGACTAGGTGTTAAGTAGAATAATTCTCTTTGGCAAACATCAGCTCTTCTGGAATTTATGAGAATGTTTAGGGAACTCTGAGAGAGAGGAGCTATTGCCAAGAATAAGAAAGATCATAGGTTTACTCTTGCTTTCATCTTTATCTGTGGTAGAAAAGTTATTATTTTTAAAATTTGAATTGTTCATTGACTTTGTTTTGTCCTTTGTATTTCTGTGGCGATCCTGGTTTCTAATTCTTATGGGCTTTAACTGAGCACCAATTGTCCCTGTGACTTCAGATGATGCACCCCTCTCTCCTTGAGAGGAGGTACCTGGTCAGGATAACTTGCTTAGTATTCCCAAAGCCATTGCTCTGATGGAAACAAGTCCAGCAGGCCCAGACAGAGGGCTTGGATTTTCAGATACTCGGCTCAGTCCTAGAAGCAGTGACATGGGCTATTGCCTGGCCAAAGGAAGAGCTCTAAGCGTTCAGGTAATTATGATTTTAGTCTGCAGAAGGCCACAAATGATTGGGATCAGTGGCATGGAGAATAAGAGAGAAAACTTAGTTAATCAGGAGCCCAGCACAGAACCACATTTGAGGAGAGCGGAGAAGCCAGTAGGATTACATGAGATGAGCTTCCTTCCTTCCCACTGGAATTTGATGCTACTTGTTATGTTATGCAACAGGCCTTTTGAGTTATCTGTCCAACACTGGAGCTTTTTCACCCAGGTCTATCTACACGTTCTAGCTCAAATCGCCCTGTGGCATGTTTTACGTATACATGTATTATGGACTGTGTCCAACCCACAGTCTTCCTGGCCCCACCACTTATTCCAGCCACTGTTGCAGTGACCAGTTCACACAAGCTTTGACCATCTCCACTGAAGTGCAACCTGACAGTGCCTCACCTCAGGTCTGCAATATATTACCTCTTGCTTTCTAACCAGAGGAAAGGCCCTGCTCAGGACTCACACATGTGTAACCTGGAAACCTGGGGGCCTGACACCTATGGGGCTGCCTTTGATGCATGTGGAAAGGAAGCCGATGTATAAATGCTTCCCCCTTTTATCCACGAGGCAGATCAGATGGTTTTGAGATGCATAGGGCTCCTCTGAAGTTCTGGCTGGCTGGAGCAGTGCCTTTGGTGGTGGCCATCCTGAGCGTGCATCCTTGTATTGGGTGTCCCTCTTTCCCTGTTTCCTCCCCCTTGGAATCTTGTTCCCAAATATACTACCTAACTGCACAGAAGCACTGGTCTCAGGCCCTGCTTTCAGGAGAACCCAGGCACTTGTGCAAGAAGGCTGGCTCATTCCACTGTCAATTAATAAAGTAAAGGTTTCTGGCACACAGGTATTAAATCTTAGCCTGAGAGACTAATCACCGATCACTGCAACAATGAGCCCAAGCTGACCCAGACAAAAGTCAGGCGGTGGTGTGGCATGACTCACCAAATTGTGGAAATAAAGGTTGTAGGCAGCAGCTGTTATTTAAAAAATCATTTTATTTATTAAAACATCTTCATTTACCAAGGCACTTCAGTAGCTTTCACAAAAATATGGTTTTTATCCAGGTGAAGCATCTGCTTTTGGAGTACCGTGGTAACATAATCATAAAAGACAGTTACACTGAACACAAAATATCTCCCAATGTTACACGACTGAAGTGAGCAACTCTGAAAGACTGTGAACACAGTTTAACTTTCTTCTTTGTAATTTTTTCCCATGATTAGGTATCACAAAAGGAACTCTTATAGTGACGTCATTTTTGGCACTCAGAGAAGTGCTTGTGGCTAAGGCTGATTTCTTCGCACAAAGGGCAATGGCAGGCCATCGCCAGAGTGATTCTGGGTTGGAAAAAAAACAACAAAGACACAAACCAGGAGGCTGAAGAACAAGCCTTTCCTAAAGTCTATTCTGAAGGGCAAATAACTTAAGCAGAAAAAGACATAACAAACAAATGAACAAACAAAACACAAATATACAAAATCTACATTATAGTTTTGAGAAAAGAGATGAGTTTGCTTGCCTCTCTTTCTCACTGATACACTTCCTTCCAATCATACATCAGAAACCACAGAAGCTAAGAGATGTGATTCACACAGCAGTGGAAAACAAGAATAAAAGATTCAATGATGCACCTTGTATGGGCCTGGACAAGCCCAAGGCTTTGATCAGATGTAAACAAGTCAACCCAGTAGTCACACTGAGTGGTACCAGAACTCACAAATCAATGCACTTGCCCTTCTTCCATTATCTGCTCAGTTCCCTCTGTATTAATTACCTTTAGGTTCCCTCAGATCTGTGCTCTCCTGTCTGGGGGAGCAACAATCCCACTTAATACCCTTTAAGACTAAGAAAGTGTGAGAAAGCAAACCCTCTGTGCAATTATTTGTTTTCCTCTAAAGTGCACCACTAGAGGGAAATGGGGAGAAGATTTGGGGGGATAATTAGACCTACAGTTTTGTCAGGAGTCTTTTCAGGTGGCCTGAAATTAAGATGTAAATTTAGCAGGTGCCTCTCTTATTCTTCCAAGTCCCATTGGTTCTGGCGAACAGTTAACTTCTTAGGGAGTGCCAAGTCCACCATCCACCAAATCCGGGAGTTAAGATGTATCTAAATTTGTCACTCTGGAGGGAAGGTAATGCCCTAGGGCCACATGCAACCTCTGAGTCTGGGTGTCCAGCCAGGAGCAAGTCAGACACAGAGGCAAGAGCATGAAGGGTGGAGATGTTCACTGCTGAAGGGCTCAGTGTCTGCACAACAGCACAAGCTGTTTCTGACAAGACCCTGTCCCTCTCCTCACCTTCTCCCCCACTGGATGCTGTGTTATAAGGCTGTACTTTTAAGCACTTTGGAGCTTTCTTCACCATCTTTTAACATCCTTGTGTGGCTTGGAGTTTGCCTATACTTTATCCTACAAAAACAAACAAAACTAGTGTTAGCAATGAATCTTTAAAAAAATGTCTACCAGTCTCTAAATAGTCAAACAAAACCCAGAACTGAGATGATCTCACTAAGGGGGAAAAAAAATCTTACAGCAGATTCTAAAAGGTTTCTCCCGGTCTCTTGCTGTCCCAGAGCTTCTGGGGTGGTGGAGATGCACATGGTGACACTGTGGTCTGTCTCAGACCAGACAGGACAGTCTCTAAGCACCTTGCCATTTCTAACCCTCTGATGGCTAAACTAGCCCACGGTGTCTGGGAGAGTTTGTAGGGAACTCTCAGCCAGGCCTGGACCCAGTGCATCAACACTGCAACCCAGCAACCCAGCACAACCTTACCCTTTGACCCTCAGCATCTGGTCAATGGTGTCTGGGAGAGGGGTGCCAAAGCTCTCTGGGAGGAACAAGGTGAGAATGGCTGTCAGGATAGTCAGACTTCCCATGAGAATGTAGGGCAGGAAGCGGTCGTAGGCACCTATGGCAAAGACAGAACTCTAAGCGAGGGATGCAGTCAGACTTGGCCTCCCTTCCTCCCTTTGTGCTCCCAGGACTCTAAAGGGGACCACGTGCCTTCTCAGCCTCTGCATCTCTCACAGTCTGAGCTACCAGATTGAAACCTGGCACCTGGACAGGTCTCAGAACCCAGAGTTGGCACAGATGTGCCCAGAGGTCCTGTAGTGCCTCACGGTACAGGGGAGGGGTGCGGGCCGGGAGGAGGGCACTATTCCTATCTCCCAATGCTGCATTTCCATGGAACTCGAGGTTCTCATCCAGGTACAGCAGTAACTCCTCTACCTCTCTAGATATGTCACAACCCGCTCACTTTGCCTTAAGGCCAGATAATGTGTTTCTGCTTGTCAGATTCATGTAGCATGTTCACAACATGTTCTGGGTACTTTCAAGGCGGCCACCAACCCTCCCCAAAGATGTGCAGGCTGGGGGTGTGCAGGAGGGAGAAGCTGCCATGGGGAAATAATTCCAAAGAAGAGAAAAATTATGCCCTGTTACATAAAATGGCACAAGGCATATCTTTACACAGTATAGAACCATGGTGTAAAACCAAAGTGTTCCAAATTACGGTAATTCTCAGTTCATCCATCAGACGTCTTGAATGGGCATCCTTCCCTCCATGTTCCTTTTATACTCTGATTCCAAGAAGAAATTTCTTCAATTAAGTACATGGGCTCCCTATACCATGCTGCAGTTTCTTAGGACAAGGGAACTAGATTCTTTGATGGAAGGCCTGGGATAGCCAGAGCAGAAACAAAACTCTACTTATCTCACTGATTTCTAGCTAGTGCGTAGGTCGTTTTCTGTTTACAAGTGAGTGCCTCCTCTACAGTGTGCCTGGACACAGGCCCTCTCTAAGCATAGATCTGGTACTGGATGGATCCCATCTGCTGTGTGTGCCTGCTTTGCTGTTAACAACCCACCAGAGCTCACATTAAAGGCAATCAGTGCTTCCACGCCACGGCTCCTGCATGCCCCAGCCCACAGGACTTACCGAGGTAAACAAAGTAGGGGGACAGGATGCTCCCCAGGCGGGATGCTGTGGAGCTGACCCCCACACCCATGTTTCTGACCACTGTGGGATACAGCTCGGCTGTGTACACGTAGACCATGGAAAAGGCAGCAGTGACTCCAAACTTGCCCACCATCACCAGGACAGTGGCCAAGTAATACAAATCTGGAAAGGCAAAGGGAAGGAAGTAGAAGGCACCAACCCACGGTATGCTGCTATTAGGCATTTTGTAACTTTTTTCCCGAAGCAAACATATTTTCTCCTTTCTGGGATATGGGGGACAGTTTCTCTAATGACCTTCTGTGGGATAAGAAGCTGTAGCCAAGATATCCCTCCAAGTTGCTTCCTGAGAGGAGGCTGGGACCCACAGCTGTGTGAGGACATGCCCTTCTCAGCCTATAGACCACCGAAGTGAGCCTCTCAATAGCCCAAGTAAACCTGCTCTAGTCCAGAAGTCACTAAAGACATGCCTGGCGAGGGGTCGGAACTGCACACTGCAGGCACTGTGGAATCAATGAATGACCTGTGGATGAATGGGGTTCCATTCTAACTCATTTCATGCTTTCCCTCACATAGACCTTGACAATTCATAGGGCAGCAGATCCCCAGGAATAATCCTATCTATCCTGCTCGCTGTACCAATGAGGCACAGTGGCCTGTGGGTCACCCTGAGCTCTGGTGTGAGCTCTATGTATATATGCCATGCCTGTGCAGAACACTGCCAGGCTCAGGCGCCCACAACCAACCACCAGAGGCCCCCATATTCATGTATCTGGATACCATGATGGAATACGAAGGTCCACACACTGTTCTGTGAATTCTGGAAAAAGGTTGCCTCCTTATCCCATCAGTAGGATACCAAGATGGTTTTAAAAATAAAATCCACTTGAGGCACCTGAGTGGCTCAGCTGGTGAAGCATCTGACTTCAGCTCAGGTCATGATCTCATGGTTTGTGAGTTCAAGCCCCACATCAGGCTCTGTGCTGACAGTGCTGAGTGCTGCTCTCTCTTTCCGTACTCCACTCACGTG